TTTTTTGCAAGTGATCATGGATCCAAAAAAACCCATCAAAGACAACGAGACCAATAGTGACCAGATCAAAGGCTCATGCATGCAACAGATCATGAACAAATACCAAAGTCCACGCTTTTGCAAGGAAAAAAACAAAGCAAATCATAATAACGGCGGACATTGCCATCGCCTTCAGAGGATGCACTAGGGTTTCGTCTTTCCTGTTGCGGTCTCAGTCCTCAATTGTTTTAATCATGGTGCTCTGATACCATTTGTTGTAAATACCACAAGATAATTCTAGGGTTTTCGAAATTAATTAAACAACAATAAACCCTAGAAAATATAATCTAATACACATGATTAATACAAAGAGGAAATTAACAATAGATGCGGAAGCGTACCTGGATCCATGAATTAATTTGTAGAAAATTGCCGAAAGGGTTGAGATCTTCTAGTGTGGATGGCCTCTCCAAAATTCCTCTCTAGATGAGGTGAAAAGAAAATAGAGAACGTGCCATTAGATTAGGGACCATGACCCATTAAGTAGTTGCAATTTCTAATTTGGCCCATCATCAAATTAGAAATTAATATTTGGTATCTACACATTTGGCCTATGAAACATTCAATACCCATTGACCCAATTTACCTGGTTGATCACTTTACGCGGGTCAACTTTAAAGGATAGCACTGCACACTAATATCATATATGTACTCACAATTTAGATTTAATCCAACAATCCTTTCTCAGGATCATCCTATGCTTGCAAGAGAGTATGAACGTGTGAGGGCTGGAAAACCTCCTGTAACTCTGGAGATGTCACGCTATGGATTGGAACCTCCTCCCATGAACAAGCGTAATGATGTAACTGCTTGGAGGCTGGCACTTAAGAATGCTCAAAGCCTACTACAACATCAAGTTATAAGGTGTGCGCTTCTTGTAGATATCCCCTCTTTCATAGTTTCTTTGTGAAACTGTTACATTGGTGGAAATTTTACTATAATGAAAGATTATTTTTATGAAATACAGCTCACACATCTGCTTTATCAGTTTTATTTTGCCATTCAGATTGATAAGAATCCTGGTAGAGTCAGCTAAATATGCATCAATCAAAAACCTATGCAAGAAAAACAACTTTTGTTTGCTATCCAGATGGACCCATAGCATTTTTAAACTATTTGTATATATCTCAGTTCTAAGATTATTATATCTAATTTTCTGAATGGCATAGTCATCCACCTGCAACTAAGTATGGACTAGTTTTTGAAATACAATTTGTGATACTAGTGTTAGAAAACAAACTTCGCTATCCTGTTTTTGTGTGTTCATAAAAGTATGTGAGTGACAACCACATCAAATAGTTTTCTTTCTATTAGCGGACAAGTGCATAATCATTTGATGCTGGTTATACACGCGTATACCAGTGTTCACAAACTATTATGGTCTTTTTCGCTTCTTATACATGACCACTTGTCTAATTGAACTCGTCACAGTAGAACCAGTCAATGTGGACATGATGACTGACAGTTACCATGTCTGACCCTTATCCTGCATATTATATAAATTTTATGCTTTGCATGATTATAGCTGTTAGAAGAGATGCAAATGCAATGTTTTGATGCATGTGTTCTGACTGAACTAACTGCTATGTCAGAATGGAGAATCTTGAACTGATGCTGAAACATGGCGCTGATGTATGGAAACTCCATAACAAACAAATGGAATTGTTGCTGTCAAGGTGAACATATTTCTTATTTACAGCTTTTTACCGAATAGAGATTCTCTCCATTGAACATTCTTGTAAGTTCAACCAGAAGGCAGAAAGCTGATTGCAAATTCACGATACCCTGACTGTTATGTCAGCTGCCATTGTTTGAACATTGTAATTTTGAAAACCGAAATTCTAAAAATTACATTAATATGTGTTGAATCAACATATCAGTCTCGTTCTACGTTGATTTACAGTTCTAGATGCCCAATAAAGGAATTATGGATGTTTGTACACTTGGTGCATATGATTGTCCTTAATCACATGAACTTTGTATCTCTTCATTCATGATCAGGTTCATACTAGACTAAAATAGACCTCACATCATGAAGAAACTAGAGAGTTTTATTTGGTGAATCATTTTTATATTCTCCTCACCAGGATGCAAGCTACAGCGTCAGAATACAATGAAAGGATAGAAGCTGTCAACCGTGAGAGGAAATATCACCAGGTGATTTTTTTTTAAATCTCAACCTAAATAATGCCATTTGGATTATCATTTGTGTGCATGCAAGTTCCATATTTTCTCATATGAAGGTGTTATCAGCAAAGTACAGGCGTACAACTTAATGCTCTGTCTACTGAATGGAGGGAACTTTGTGAGAAAAACATAGAGATAGAGACCGTGTGTGCTGAGATCCAGAATCGTATAGAACAACTGAGACTAGAAGCTGCAGAATGGTATGATTTCCTCTAATTTTTCTCGGGTTTGTTTCCTTTCATAGTTTTACATCTTACTTGACACTTTTAAATGCCTTCCAGTGGTCTTAATTTGGATGCTAATATGAATGATACTTCAGCAATGATCGTGGAGCACTAGGTAATCTTTTCTTCACCAATTATGCTAAATTTTTTAGCTATTAGGCAGTTGGTGTATTTTGTTGTCGTTTTGAGTTTTGAGTGTTCACAAAAGCAGTGTTTTTCTTTTGTCGTATTTGTATAATGTATTGGTGGATTGGGTGGCAGTGGTGGGGATTGGGTGTTTTAAGAAACAGAAACAGAAAGGAAATAGGTAATTAAATCATTCTTGCAATTTGGTGGTGAGTACTACCTAGCAACTCATAGGTAATCTTATTCTTCTTGATGCTCAAACAGCCTTTTGTTGGATGGGCTGATCTTGTCATGGTTGAATTATGCCTGGTGAAACTTGGGTTGCCCTACTTTCTTTCACTTACACAGGGTCAAGAGGGAGGACCTCTGTGATTTTGTTGCCTTTCTCATTTTCCTCTTGAACCAAAAGAGAACCACTTTCCTAGTTTTATGCAAGTTTTACTCTGCATCAGGCCAATGAAACAGCTCTAGCTTACCTTAGAATTTTGTGCTTCTTTGTCCTCCTCTTCCTCCGTTTCTTTTCCTTTTCCTCCAAACTTCCTCTCAAGATCGATCTTGCTGACATTAATATCTTATTTCCTAACAATTTGTGTTTTAAACTTCATACTATGAATAGTTTACATAACAAACGCTGGAGGTCTTAGATGTTATGTTATTTTTGAATTACTGTTGGCAAACCTGTAGTGACGCGTTCATCCCAAATTTGTGGGGTCCACAAACCTATATGTATAACCATTCAATTTTATGCACTGCATAAATTTATGAATAGCAAATAATTAGTATAAATGTGCACTGGGTGGAGCTTCAGTTTTGCCTATTTCAATCTGCGAATGGAGAATTGGAAGATAGGGCCTTGTGAATTTTGAAGCAACCAACGAGTCACTAAATGTTTTAGTTGTTTACCTATGGTTTAATGATGTTGCTTTTGCTGCTGCAGGTAAAATAAGGAGGTTCCTAAATCATAGATTTTCCGCATGCTTGCGCTTGGAATTTTACCCTGCGATGTCCGAAGCTGGCTGTGACTTCAACCTTAAACAGGGGTCATTGCTGTGCCATCCTCATCCCTTTCTTATGAATCAGTGCGATTGTAGTTTGGGCTTTTTGATCTGGGCGTCTTCAGTTATTTTCTAGTATTGAAAGCATAAGCTTGATGAATTCTTTACCAAAAAGGGATTTTTGACAGCAACTTGTAATGGAGAATACACAGAAGTATTGCATTGTTGGGTGAATTTAGACTGATTAAGCTTTGTCATTTCAATTATCATTTAACCAACTTTTGGTCTCCATCTTATTTCAAATAAAATGCATTTGTTTTAGGGCCTTGTTTTAATAAAATAACGAACTTTAGTCACTCCCTCGTTGTGGTGATATGTAAATATCAAATGTAGTACATAACATGCCTCAAACTCGTCAGAACATAAAATATACTGTTAATAAATTAGGAAACTAGCCTTGGGTAATGCAACACATTCCCCACATTGCCTCTGCTTTGCGCTTGAGAGTAGAACAGAAAGTTACTTGGACTATGCAACACAAGTTCGCTTCTCGCGCGCTATAGAGTTTGTGTTTTAGGTTACATGAGCCGTTTTGACTTGTAGGTAACAGGTTAAAAGGGCACACATTAAAAATGGCAAGAAAAAAGAAGGCTTGATCTATTCGCTGAGGGAATCTGTAACTGAATCTGTAACTTCATACAGTTGTTCAATGCGACGGTGTTGATGTAAACAACAACATACTACTCAAAACAGTGGAAAAATTAATGTCACTATAGTAACGCAATTCAAAGTCTCATCATGATACATGCCTCCCGATCGTCTTGCTTTGAAACTTTTCTACAGCTTCGCGTGTCTCGTGTACCAGGAAACAGGTTTTGTCAGTGCACTATCAAAACCTGCAAGCATCCATGGTATCAATAGCAGCGATCACGTTGCCTTGGCCGATGTCTGTCTAAGCAAATGGATTCCCATGACGAGATGTGCTAGTGCCTTGTGCGTTTCTGATAATATCACTATAAACCATTCAAGAGATGAAGGCATAAATCAAGTATGAATCAAATAAGCTTCTGGAAGCAACTTACGAGAACATAGAACTAGGTTCTTGAGTTTCCACGTATGGTACACCTGTAAAATTGTAAATGTTCACTGTGATAAGGTAAACGGAAAGCCAAAATTTTGATACAAATGCTAAGAATTATGAAGCAACAGTTATTGCAAACAAAGCACTTACCTTGGATGTTGGAACTCTGAGGTAACCATTGTTGAGTAGGCAGTAGGCACCCCTGGAGTATTGTTGTCTGTAGAGAGCTCATATCAGGGAAAGTATTTATGACAACACTGACTTTTAATTGGACAGAAAGCTATTATTAATTGCAGAGACATGCTCAAACATTTTTAACAGAAACATAGAGTTCTCATTGTTTCGCAAAAGCTCCTGTACAAAGAAAACACTCAGCTCATCATCATTGCCATCCGTGCCTTTTCTCATAGATATCATGTTCACTTGAAAGGAAGAGTTACCTAAGTTTTCATAACTAGTTATCAACTTGAAATTGAAAATACGATATGACAATGTACTTCCACATAACCCTGCTTCAAATGCTGAATAAATCTCATTTCAATAGCCATTCTTCTGCCTAATTAAGTTTCTCTGAATATGAAAACCTGTAACACTTCTGTCTAGATTCTGCCAATATAAGTTTGGAGAAATAGCAAACATGTATATACAACAATAATTAATCCAATGAAATATTAGTTTCAGTACGTTTTTTTCGTAGTTCATTTCAAAACAACCACTTTGTATTGGACTTTTATATTTTCAAAGTTGTCAAGTTGATTAATACTAGGACCCATGGCCTCAGATGTACAAACAAAACATCATAAACCGATCTAATCCTTTGCATGTATCACCCTCTTACAAATTAATAAGCCAAATAAGAATTGTTGTCAAGTTAAAATAACTTTCTTTATTGGACGTTTAATTATGAAAATTCTGATATTGAGTCATACATTATTGTCGGCTTCCGAATCCAAATCATATGATAAATCAAATGATGTAGGTACACTTGACACATTTATGTATGTGTATATAATGTTTGTTTTTTAATTCTTAATGAAAAGTCCTTCTAAGATAATCAGGTGTCCAAATGTTTTCACGAGTCACTAGCTATCAATCCAAACAATCCCAGGACCATGATATAGGGAAGTGTAAGGCTAATGTTGTATTATGCTTTTCAAAAGAAAAATCATGCCACTGAATAAACCATATGCTCATACTTCCAACTATAGGCAAAGGTTGGAAATATGATTCAGTTCCGAGAGTTAAGAAAATACGTGTCTGTGCCGCTTTTAGAAATTAAAGCTATAAGGATTCATAAGAAAACCACAATCAAGAGGAAATCTATGAAAAACATGTTATTTGACAAGTATTTCAAAAGAAAAGATTAAGAAAAAAAAAGGAAAAGTTCAATCCAAGATAAACATAAATTTTAAGTGGGCTTCATCAAATTCTTACACAGTTCACAACTTGCATAATAACCAGTAATTGAACCACAATTTTCATAATAACCACAAACAAACACAATTTGCATGCATCAAATTATCTAGTATTACTTCATACCCAATATATAGAAGACCCCAGAAAACAACAAGGTCAACCCAAAAGCATTTATTTCGGTGATTTCCTCCAAATATTTCTGAAAACAATAGAACCCAAATCAAATAATCAACAAATTTCCATAATTGAACACTTCAGGCAGCCGATAAAGGACTTCAAAGATGTGTATAACTTTGAATACTGAAGTAACTAAAAGCAAAGAATCAACCCACAAGATGAAGTTAAAAACTTACTTGTTTCCTCAAATATTTCGTAGCACGTGTATTCGGAAGTTTGCATTTCAAAAAAGAAAGAATATAAAACAAGGCAAAGAAAAAAAACTCTTGACTAAATTCATGATAAAAAGAATTTTTTTTTCCATGAGACTGACTTGCAAGTAAAGGACTCACTCTTCTGTTTGCCCACTTTGCAACAATAATCTGAAAGCAAATAAACAGATTTTTTTATTTTTAAGTAAAGGCAGGAAATACTCTGTGTTTGATTAATAAGCTTCTAACAAAACATCTCCGATTCTTTTAACTTTCTGCCACCAAGCAAATGAATATCTATTTGGAGTGAAACTAGAGATACAACTTATGGTCCTTATCCATGAAAACTTCTTACTCTGGGAAAATCTGCTGGAATGGCAAGTTTAAGATATGAGATTTTATGCTCCAAGCAAACTTGCTATTTTCCGCATCGCATATTCAAGATCAAGCATTGAGATATCTCAGATCCCATAGAACAAACTCAACTATCAAATTTGATATATCCTTAAAGTATATAGATATTCAACTAACATTTTCATGGTTCCCAAATCTGATAGAGATAAAGCAAAAGTAAGTAGATATACTGATCTTCACAAAACAAACTCTACTACCAAATCTTTAATAACTTAAGAATGTAGTAAACACGTGACTAATTATTTTACGGTCAAATAAAATGCACTACATAATAGAGAGCACGTTGAGATTCTAAACCTGCTACATGGATGCACTAGAAATGACTTTACGCTGGATAGCTCAATTTTTTTTTTCGTTGTGTCTTAAGTGGACCAGTATATTGAAAAAGCATAATTCTTTACATGCTTCTGAAAACACTTGGGCAGCATTTGAAGCAATCTATTCCTTAACAACCCTATTTGGTAGCTTGTATCAGATAGTGTAGCATGAAAATCATAGATATTACCATTAAAGAATATCATTAAAGAATGATTAAAAAAATACCCGAATTCTTTACATTTTCGCCTTTTTTTCCAAATAATATGCCAGAATTGCACAAGAAGTACCAACTTTAACAGAGAATTGAAGAAAGGTGTAATTTTTTTCACCTCAAATTTAGCAGCACCTTTTCTTGCCGACCGAAACGCCGCCGAAACGTTGCCGAAATCAGTCAACCCCTCAACCACCAAACACACGGAATAGCTCCGGTTCTCCACGGCTCTCCGGATCCTCTCCTTTCTCCCATCCATTATGTAAGGATCCATAGCTTCGATCACTTCACGGCTGCCCAGCTCAATTGTTCCCGCCCTGTAAACATCCAGATAAGGAAACCAGCGGCCGTTGCTCAACCCGCTATCGGGTTCGGATCTCCGCTCCATTTTCATCAGGCGATCGATTTGGTCGCCTTTGGTGAGTAGTTCTTCGACCGTGCCTTCGGATCGAGTGGTGGCGGGTTCGGAGGCCGAGGAGGAGGCGGCGGCGGCGGCGCGGAAAGGGGGGAACCCTAACCCTAGGCGAGAGGAGCGGGGGCGAGGAGAGGAGAGGATGTGTCCTTGATGGGGGGGTTTGCATCTGGATTTATTCCGGTTGAAGGAGGAGAGTGGGATTTGGGGGCAGCGACGAACTCCGATGGGGGATTTGGGGATTTTGGGATTTCTGACGAGAGAGAAAGAACGGGGGATGGGGGGTTTTGTTTTTTTACTTTTTTTTCGTGAAAATAAGCGAGGGAAATATCCCTCCAAACGTTTTGGCGATGCAGATGAGTAACAGCGTCGTTAAAAATAGACTTTTAGCGACGCTTATCTACACGTGGCGATATATGCACACTATTAGCGACGTCAGGCCTATAACGTCGCTAAATATATATATTTTTGCCGACGAAAATAAAAAACGTCGGGAAATCCATACACTTTTACCGACGCTAAGGGGGTGTTTGGTTGCATTGTTTTTGAGAAATGTTTTCTTAAAAAGTACAAACAATGTCATTTTTGTAATTAAGAGTTTTCTATAGATTTCCACAAACTGTGTTTGGCTCAAAAAAGATTTACAGAAATGTTTTCTGTAAAGTATAGAAAAGTACCAAAATTTATAGAAATTGATTTCCTTCTAAAATGGGCGGAAATCTCTTGGAAATCTGACGCATTTATTATTTAAATAATAAAACTCATTAACACTTTTCTATAAAGTTCTCACTTTTCTATAAAGTTGGTGGTGTTTGATTACATTTCTATAAATTATAGGAAATATTGCTATTTTCCCAAAAGTTATGAGTCATTTTCTTGTTTTGAACCAAACAAGCACAATACAAAAAATAAGAAAATTTGTACTTTTTAACTTCTTAAAACTTTTCTTATAATTTTTTTAAGAAATACAAGAAAATCAAATTTTAGATGGAAAACATTTCCTATAATTTATAGAAATGTAACCAAACACCCCTTAAGTTAAAACGTCGCTAATAATATACACTTTTAGCAACGCTAATTAAAAACGTGAGGGAAAATATATGTTTTGCCGACGCTAACTAAAATCGTCGGGAAAAACCCAATTTTTGGCGACGTATTTAAACATGCGTCGGGAATAAGCGTCGGGAAAAATGCAATTTGTTGTAGTGAGCGGCGCACAACACTAAAAAATGCATGTTCCGCCAAAAATTAATATTCGTATAAGCTCACTTCACGTGCATGGACCGTGGTGACCATATTAAGCACATGATTCTCGTGCCTGACGTGAATATTAATGCTGAGTATGCTCATTTCACATAATAGTTAAACAATAGAGAGTAACTTAATTTTCTTACGCTAAAGTAAAGGTGTTACTTCAAAAGATTATCTTTTTAGGATATGTGAAGCCTAACTATTAGACCAGTCCTATACTTCAAAATGAAGAGGAACAAGATGGAACAGGAGGAACAGGATCGACGACGACGAAGTTCAAGCAAAACGACGAAGGGCACATTTTGACTGAGTCGCGGTCGACCGTGCATGGCGCGGCGGTCGACCGCCGAGTGCACAGACAAACATATTGCTGAGAGCTAGCTTCGCCGTTGTTGACCGCGGCATTGGCGCGGTGGTCGTCGCCAAAAGTCGCAGAGAGCTACCATCAGCAGGAGGCTTGGTCTCGACCGCGCATGGCACGGCGCGGTCGCCCCAAAACTCCAGAGACTCTGATTAGGAGAAGGATTCGTCGCGATCGACCGCGCGTGGCGCGGCGGTCGACCGCGAGTCGGTTTTGGCCCAGTTATAGTTTTTGACCTGTTTCCTTTTCTATTTGTAAAACCCTTAAGTCTATAAAAGGGTTGAATAGGGCATGATGTAAAAGAGACGAAAATAGTAAAATTTTCTCCTGCGGCGGCCGTGGACGTAGTTTCTCACATTGAGAAGCGAACCACGTAAATCTTGTGTGTTTGTGATTGATTGAATTCTCTCTTCTCTCCTAAATCTCTATTTTCAAATCGCATCAGGGGGGTTGTGCATTCCCAACAAAGATCAGCGATGACAAATAGAATATATATAGTCCCACGTTTACTACTAGTGAATATGAAAACGCACGTAACTATACTTTAGGGCCTGTTTGGATTTGTAGGGGGTGAAGGGAAGTTAAGGGAAACTGAGAGAAGGGAAGGGAAGGTAAGGGAAGGGAGTTCCCTTCCCCTTGGTTACACCACAATTTGAGGGATAATAATTTTTATACTATTAGGGGGTGAACCAAGGGGAACTAGGGTGAATTAACTTCACCTCCTAAGTGTTCCCAAACAAGGTGAATGATTCCCCTAACTTCCCTTCACCTTCATTCCCCTCAATCCAAACAAGCCCTAAGTGTTCCCAAACAAGGTGAATGGAGGTGAATGGTTCCCCTAACTTCCCTTCACCCTCATTCCCCTCAATCCAAACAAGCCATTAAGCTAGTTGAGAATTAATAGAGGTGACTCCTACGAGCAATAACTAAAGAGCATGCAATTTATAATAACTTTACATGAAGCATGTACCTTCATGACTAATTAGCTCTGACAGAACAAGCAAAGCAAGGATTAATGGTTTTATAAACACTTAAACCCACAGTTGATCAGGGCAAGGTACAGGTCAAGGTGTCCTAATCACATGCATCTGTGGATACCAAGGAGCACAAAGATTCTTGATTCGGGCCTTAATTAGTTCTCATCTGATGATTCTAAGGGACACTTGGTTACCACCACTCCTCGTGCAATTACATTATCAATCAGAATTTAATCTATCTAAGCACTAGTACTCTAACCATGATTAGTTTAATGATTAATGCATATGGGAGCCACGTAACCCTCGTGGTCTGACTGAGACATTGATGTAAGCACCGTGATGTTAGTTATTATTTATTCTTATCTTTGTTGATAATCATATCCAAACTGTACATTTTATTTTATTTTACGTTATTCTGTTTATTTTACTGCAAAACTTTACATTTTATTAGATCACATCCAAATCGTACTTTACCTTGTAGTAGCTTCTCACTAGGATTCATCACTGACAGGCCCATAAGGAGCTTGGACCACTTTTCCCTTGCAACGGAGACACTGGGCCCAATCAACGCCTGTTCCACATGCGTGAAGCCCCCAAAGGCCCATTTGAGTAGTCCTACATCAATTTGCAGCACAAAATGGATAGCAACGGCCCCACGTACCCGGATAATTTGGAAGTTTGACCGCTTTAAGTCCAAATCCGGAACAGAGTCGGATTTGGACGCAAACGTGTGTTTTCTCCTTGACACCTCGAGGAACATGGACCTCACTTGTTGAGAAACTCTACCAACCCCCCAATAACTTTTATTTACTTCACGAATGTGATTGAGATCCTCTTTAATTAACTGTTAATTGGAGATGATCCGATTACTCAAGTCGTAGTATTTTATTCTAATTTCAAGGACTAGAATGTGGCAGTGGCGGATCTACAACCTCTTGAGTGGTGGTTCAAAATGAATCTTAAAAAATTTTCCAACTATTTTGGCGGATCTACAACCTCTCGAGTGGTGTTCTACATGAAAGATACTCATTGATGACGACAGCTATGGCAGTTTTTCTTTCATTTTCCAACTATATAAACCACCTTGAACTAATTAAGCAAAGTGGAATATATAAACCTCCACAAAAAAGTTGAACCCTTAAACTAGAATGAACAAAATGCGATGGAAAAATCTAAACAAGTGATATATAAACCGCCTAGAAGGGTTCTACATGAAATTTTTTTTACTGAGGTGGTTCAAGGGAACCACCTTGAACAAAGGTGGCTCCGCCACTGGAATGTGGCCTCACATGATTCTACTATTATCTAGAAAATCATTGTTATCTTGAAAACCGCTTTCATGAATAGTGGAAATCCAGCGTGGCCACATTCTATCCATTTAAAATGGAGTACACAACTACAATTTGAGTAATTTGACTATCTTCAATTATCTCCTAATTGAAAGGGATCTAAATCCCCATGAGCCCATCACTGAAATAATTAAAAAGTATATAAAAACTCTTTCGATTGTGGGACTCATTGCAGGAACTAATGTTATTAATCCATAATAGTAATAGCAAATCTCTACAGCCAAATTAATGAGCAGGAAAGCTTTTCCCGCTTCTTCAGCTCAAAAAAAATCTCTACAGTCAAATATGCTAGAATCTCTCCCTCTATCTAATTCCAATAAGAAGAGGGAA